AGATATCCTCCTAAAATAGCTAAAACTAAAAAAGCCCCACTCCAACTCCCAAAAATATTCAGCTTTGATATTAATGAGTCTTTTGGGTTCATTAAGAACATGGTTGTTGTTCAATAATAAAATGAATCCTCAAAAATACAACTTGCCTAATAATTCTGCACTCCCTGTATATTTGAAGTATAGCTTATAGCTTAAATATAACTTTTAGGTTCTTAAGGCAAATAATTCCACACTAATTTTGTATCGATTTATCGATTGAGTGGATGTTCACAAATGAAGTCAGTTGTAGAGAGGGTAAAAAGTTTGTTTTATGTTTCCTTTTCCTTTTCCAAGTTGGTACAGTTCCTATAGAAATTGATGTCTGAGATCTGTTAAATTTTTTATTGTCTGAGTTGGAAAACAGCTCTTTTATGCCCACTATTGGCCAATCTTACAGGTACATGTTGGAATAACAGTTAATTAAAGTGGGCAAACTGCTTTCATGTGAGGATAGAGCTTATGTTGCAAGACACTTGTAATGATATTTTGAGCATGTTAATTTTATGCACATTTTCCGAATCTGCTACCATGATTTTTATCTCCAAAAAACTGGGACTAATGGGACAGCTGTGTTTAATGTTGGTCCAGATGTTACTTTGTCCTGCTGACTGTCCTGCTGACTGTCCTCTGCGACCTCAAACAGCAGCACTTTGTGTTCAAATTTGCCTGATTTCGCCTTTAATTCCACATAACCCTGAGCAAAACAAACCCCCATAGAGGTGCATGGTGAAATCCCCTCATTTGAAGCACATAAAAGTTAATCATGGAGAAAACGAATCATACACTTTCATCTAAAGTCCCACTTTCATCTTCCCTGTTTTTATGTCCATGCTCTCTCTCTCTCTCTCTCTCTCTCTCTCTCTCTCTCTTTCACTATAAAAACAAAATAATGCTTTACAATTTAGAAAGAGTTTAAAAAGCCTGAAAACTGCAGCAATACAACTTTATGTCATGCAAAGCCAGCGGTTCCTGGCATGTATCGACTGCTGGTGGGATTAGTCCCATCCAAAGCTGTGAGCAGCCTTGTATTGCAAAGCTGAAATCTATACGAGCCAAATGAATGGCCTTGAAACAAATGAGCCATTAGATTAGAAATTGAACACATATTTACCTGCAGAGTGGACTATGACGATACGAGGAGTTATGAGAAGGGGGGGGGGGGGGGGGGGGGGTTGTGTAGCTTTAAAACAACTTTAGTAACAAATTTCTCTTTTCTTGTACCATTTCTACAGCTCCCAAGGTGGTGTCTTTCTCCTTCGATGTTGGAAACGGGCCTGTGGAGCTAACAGTGCATTCAGCCATGCCCCTCAATGATGACCAGTGGCATCGCGTCATGGCTGAGCGGAATGTGAAGGAGGCCGTCCTCCAGCTGGATCAGACCTACTGGGCCTCTCGACTTGCCCCCGCGCAGGGTCACACTCGGCTGGAGCTCTTCAGTCAGCTCTACGTGGGTAAGACACGGGCACACTTCCTCACACAGGGTTGACTCATGCACACATCCGATTGCAATTTAGACATGTCTGTGTAGGTGGCACGCTCACTGAGACAAACGCAGCGCAGTTATAAGCTCTGATGTGTGAAAAGCAGAACTATGCAGATTATGCGTCACTCATTGTCACCGTAATTACGTTGAACTTTTAATTAAAAAACTTTCAGTACTATCTGTATCTTCATTAAAGCTGCTCCAGATTCAGACATTCACGGTTTGGACGTGTGATTGCTTCATAAGTTAAAGATGTAGCAGCCTTTTTTCCTGAAAATCAATGTTCTTTCTTAAGGGGCTTAGTCACAGCTACTGTTAATTAATTTAATGTTAATCTAATGCCCCCTCACGGATACACCTGATCCAGACGCGTGGGCCTCAGAAACTCATCCATGCATGTGATCATAGGTTTGATAAAGTCAAAAAGGAAGCTTGATTTTGATTCTGTTATTAATTAACTTGTAGAGGTCAGGCTGTAATAACTTTAGCCCTGGATTAAGAAACTATTATAGAACAAAGATATTAATCCCTTGCCTTTCATTCTTTTTCACAACAGTTAACCAGAAGAAGTCCTTTTAATTGTATTTTAATGCCTTTATGTTGTCAAAAAATGTCTTGTTTTTTTTCACTCGTGGCTGTATTTACATCCACACAAACCTTTCTTGGTCGATTGCTCAAATGGCAAATCTGGCCACTTAACTCCCCAGGCTTTTAGCTCTTTGCTTTAGTTTACACTTAGTGCTGAGCTGTCAATAAAACAAGCTGGAGGGTGAGGCGATGGGGCGACAGGAAAGGGAGGTGCAAATATGGTTTTATGTATTTGCAGACAGAGGGAGAAGTGCTGAGGCAGACCACATTTCCTTCCATATCATGGAGGAAGACAAGCCCCACCCATAAAGAGATTGTTCTAAATTCCAATCAGGGGCCCCTGATGTGATAGCCTCAACCCCCGATCCCCGTTTATAATGTAATTTCATCGTCTCATCACTTCTGCTGAAACATCCTCACCTTATCATGTCCCAATTTGCCTCCCGGTGTATTTGTACTTTCATTTAGTGAAACGGAGAGAGGGACAAGAAAGGTGCTGTCACTGTGTGACTCACAGCTGGGAAACATAATGGCCACCAAACAGCAACTCATACATTTCTAATCATATTTTGTCTTATCTTGGAAAGACAACAAGTAGAAGCAAACATTATTCCAAAAGAGGGTTAATGTTGGTTCAACATTGTGGCCCATATCCTGGATGTCAGATGTGGACCACAAGTTAAAAAAATTTGATCAAACTTGTTTGCCTGGTGCTGGTTTATAGACATCTGTTATTGGTGGATTTATATCTAACAGAATATTCCTTCATTCAGTACAAACACTGACCTCACATAAACACATCACTCCAAAGACCAGACTGAATAATATTTACCATCTTAAAATCACAATGAAGATTAAAAAAAAAAAAAAAAAAGAAAAAAAGAGAGAGAGAGAGAGATAAAACAAGTATATATATATATCAGAAAAGAACTGGGGAAGTTCTTTATGCAGCACCTTCTCATATCTTATTTATAATCTCTGGTTAATCCTTATTTGAGGATGGATTTGGGAAAGTAAAGTCCAGCACAGAGTGACTGACCCAGACACTGGAGGAGAGTGGCTTAGACTCTCTAGAGTCTCTGACACGGCGAAAAGATAGAGATCTTTTTGTGTTTGATTAAGAGATTAGCAGAGAGAGTGAGGTCTGTATGTTTCTGCACCTCGGTCTGTTGCTGTATCTTCTCCATCTCCCTCTCTCTTCCTCAATCAATATGCTCCTCATCAAGCTTTTGATTGGTTTAGTGTTTACTGCACAGTGGCTCATTTGCTATAATGGCCTCGAGAGTCAATGTTATACCATCAGCCTGCTGTCATTTACTTCACACTGTTAACTTTTAGTTCTCCAGCTCACTTCATACATGCACATTACTTTAAATCTCCACAGATTTTATGCCTTTAATGTCTCCATCTGTCCTTTTGTTTTTGCTTTGATTATTGTCTTCTATCAGAAATTATCTTTATGATTTTGCATGATTTATTTCCATAACAGTTGAGTTGTTTTGGTTTTCTTTCTTTCATTCTTTCTTTTCTTTTCTGCTTCCCATCGGGCCTGTCTTTTTGCATGTCTTAATCCATTGCATGCACCACAGGAAAACCAGCCTCGCTCACCTGCCAAGACAGTAGGTAACATGTAAATGAGTTCATGTTCTTGGAATGATCTGTTCTGTTGTTACAGCACAACACAACCTGCAATGTTTTTTCAAATTCAATTCATGTCCAATTCATCTTGAGTGTCACACTAATGGTGATAAAAGCGTAACCAGATTAGTGCAGGTGAATTGTAAATGCTCACTTATTTTGCTACAAAACATCGCAAACGCATTTTCATGCTGAAGCAATCCAATAATTAGCATCAAAAGCCAAAAAGGGAAATGGAATTTCTGTAACATTATTTTCCCTCTGGAAATGCCAGTGGGTTAGAAAGTTCTTTCAAATGACATTTAGAATACGTGAACCGACAAAAAAACAAAATAGAATTCAGATGAATTGTGACAATTACCTAAGAACAGTAGAAATAAAACAGGGCAGTCCTGATGTGTACGTTATAATTGTTGCACCAGGTATTCCTCTCCATGCTGGAGCTTGGCCAGGTTTTCCCAACAGAGCTTGGAATATTTTTGCCTTCCCTTGTGTGTTTGCTCATTAATACAGAATAAATTCAATAATGTGGAGCCAACAACACACTCATTCCCACAGTGAGAGGCAAAAGGTCACATTTTATGGCTTATTTTCTTTGTAGTTTGCCAAAAACACAGTATGTGTGTGATTGTGTGTGTGTGTGCACTATAACAATCTATATTAATAAATATTAGTGTAAATTAATGTTTACTACTCAATATTGTCCTGGACTCATCACAACATTCGTTTGTTTCAGTTTTTTAATTGCTCCATTACCTCGTTTCCACATTTATGTATTTTCCTGCATCACATTTGTATTTGTTAAACTGACCAGTGACCGGTTAGTTGTTAAAGATTTTTTAAATCTCATTTAATATACAGTATGCATGTAACACCAATCTCATTATGGCAAAATCCTTATATCTCAATCTGACAGTAAATTCAATATAAACCTAACATTCTTTTAAAAACAAGCTGCATCAATCAGCCCGTCAGCCATCTTCAAAATAAACTGAACTAGAAATAACTTTCTAATGGCTTTAGAAAATAGCTCCTAAAAAGCTTTTTGGTAAAGTAGTAGTACGGTATGGTAACCACAGAAACAGAAATGTAAAAATGTAATTATTTTTTAAACATGCTGCTGAAATGATTTTGACAAGTACTAGTCAAAATTACTCAAACTGTAATTACTAAGGATGAAGATACTGTAACACAAAATGTTTGTTTGTCCCTGAACAGAATATATCTGTGAAAAACCTTGAGTTACTTCAGCTGTGAGTCAGTCAGTGTGCGTGTGTTTACCTGCGCTGGTCTCTGTAGGTCTCACAGCCTGATGTCCAGTTAATCACACACTGATTTAGACCTGAGTAAACATGTGGCAGAAACCTCAAGCCAATCAGCGCTACAGCGTAGTTTAATTAACCATTCTCCCAAAAGTCAAATCCTCGGTGGGCAACGGAACGTGGAGGAAACCTGTGATCCTCCGCCCCACTGCCCCTGCATCCTGATGTGTGAAAAACATATTAGCTTGACTATGTAACCTCATCTTTGCTGCGTCCTTAAAGATGGCTAAAGCTGCAGGAGGTAAACGTAGGAGTGAGAGTTAATGCCCAGCTTTCCTTAACACATCTTCAATTCTGTAATTCAAGAGATGCAATTGGGAATTTAATAACCAAAATGCCCCTTGGCTGTTGTTAATGATTGTGTGGGCGTTTGTGCACACGTGCATGTGTGTGTGTGGCAGTGTAAGCATGCTGTGTGGCTGTGTTTGTGTACATTGGGTCTATACCTACGGGTGTCTGTTTATGAGGGTGTTTATTTCTATAGTCATTTAGGTGCACATTAATCTATTTAACACCCCGTCTCTGTCCGAGCTAATGGGTAGTTAGACTGTAATGGTGCACGGCCAGAATGACGAGGGAAGCACTTTAGAGGAATGGCTATTGACACCGCAGGGCTAAGCATTAATGCTCACATTGACTCATTCAAATCATGTATGCAGCGTGGGGTCCAGTGTTCCACTGTAGAATGTTCCTTACATGCATTCATCCATTCATCTGTTCGCAGAGTGTGCTAGTAAGGTTTTCATTAACAAACACCGTTCACTGGCTTGTTCCTATTAGTTGGGGGGGGAATTAAATGAGCTGAAGGTTGTTCCAAGAGCAGCATCACAGCTGGAGCAATTAGCACAACACCAGTGGGTTTCTGTAGGCTGCAGAATAATACTGTGTCTGAGAACTCATAAAGAAGCTCTTTACAGAGAAACTGTTTTTTATTTCTTATCTAACCTGCACTACTCCATAGGTGCTGCAGGAGGACAGAGAGGTTTCCTGGGATGTATCCGAGCCCTGCGGATGAACGGAATTACACTTGATCTCGAAGAGCGGGCCAAGGTCACACCGGGGGTCAAGCCTGGCTGCCAAGGCCACTGCACCAGTTTTGGAATGTACTGCAGGAATGGAGGAAAGTGTGTGGAGAAGTACAATGGATACTTGTGTGACTGCAGTACAACGGCCTACGATGGGCCATTCTGCACCAGAGGTACGTGGATTGAAAAAATGTGGTTTTATAATAAAAAAGGAAAGTGTGCCTTTGGGATCACAGTGACCCTGTAGTAAAAGGCAGTTTATATACAGTAATTTACAGTGTCACAGTGACGCTGTCTGTTTTGCCCCGTAGAATTTTTTTTTTACCCTATCGTCAGCATTTGGGACATCATGAGGGTAACAACACCTTGTGTTTATTTTACTACTCTCTCATAAACTAAGCAGCAGGTTAACATTTTTAGGGTCATTCTTCAAAAGGACCATGAGAAAAAGCACAACTTGGTAAAGTACAAGGGGTGGGGGATACAGTGGAGATTTGGTTCGTGCTCTTGCCTTAGAGCAAGAAGATTAGGTTAAATTCCTGATTGTAATGACTTTCCTTCCGTATGGAGTTTGGATATTCTTCTTAAATGGTTGGTTGTCTCCATGTCACCCAGTGATGGACCTTTCACTGGAGACTTTTCTACAAATACTATGATCATCTATGTATTAATACTCCAAATGTCATATCACGTTTTGACTGAAGCCAAGTGGAGCTGATAAAAAAATAAAAAAGTAAACTAATATTTGACTCCTGCACTGATTAAACACAGTGAATAAGGATTTGAAGATTGAATCTCAGGACTATAAATGTCGCTGAAAGTGTCGGCGACTGCTCCTCATTTTCACAATTTGGTTTGCGAGACAAATTGATTTTCCTCCATGTGGGTCTGCTGATGTTTTTTTTTATATGCTTACCTTTCACAACCCCTGCAGGACGTTTTTTTAACTTTGCAAAGGTGTCGAACTTTTTTTATTTTATCTCTCTCCTCTAACTAACAAACCCTCTGCTTTGAATTTAAAGAGGAAGCAGTGAGGCTTCATTTTTGTGGCTTACTACATGTAGCAACTTCAACCAGCGTTTTATCTCGAGCTCACTCTTCCACAGTCTCATATCACGGGGGTTACTGCTGAAGTAGGTAGATTTCAATAAGCTGGAATTGTCCAACCACACTTTTACTTTTTTGTAGCATTGTTGACTGTCGTCACCCTTCGCCTTCAGTTTAGTGCTATCTGTTTGGAAACTATTTGAGCCTGTGATAAAAGGCATCGATTGATATTGATATTGTGCTTACCCAACAGTTCCCTGCTGCCTTCGCTGAATTCTAATATGCTGTAGATGTGCAGCCGAGGGATCAGAATTTCAATAAAAAAGATAAATAAATAAAAGAACAAAGTCGCTTCACAAATTGAGCCCGAGCTGTAGGTATTTAAAGCTCCTTTGTGATGAATGAAAGAATTCAGATTTTATTCTGTGCTGTTTCTTGCTGCTAAAGCATCATGTTTACTTCCTGCAGATTCATTAGATGCATTATTTAAGTTGTACTTTCTTTAAACAAGTTCTTCTAAACCCCCCAGGGAAGCTGCTGTCTGGGCTTTCTGCCTGTTTGTATCTGAGACGTGAAATAATTAGAGTCCTTACCTTATTACGAATATTGTTGTTTTTTTTTTGGTTGGGGGGTTAACTATGCTCATAGCAGAGGGTCAGGTGAAACCTGTGTTTGTGTACATGTGTTGTGGTTACACTGTCATGAAGAGACTTCTGTTGAATTCTGTCATAAACCATCAAACATTTCAGGAGAATTAAATGAATTTCCTTTTTATTTTATGATCTCTCTGCCTATGTTTATATTTTTATGAGTTGGGGGGGAAACTGACAGAGATACAGATAGAGGCAAACGAAGGGGAAGAGCACACCCTTGTGTCTGTTTCCTTTCTCTTCATCGCCTCAATTATTTTGCTCCTTGGCTTCTCCACCACTCTTTTCTTCTCTTAATATAATTTTCCTCTTTCTCTGTCCCCTTTTGTGTTTTTTTTTCTCTTTTATTCTAAAGCCATTTTTTTCTTTGCTACTCTTTCTTCCACCAGTTGCCTCTCCTCAGCTTTTCCTTTTCTTTTACCCTGAATCTTCTCCCCCTCTATCTCGCCCTATTCTCCCTGTTCTCTCAGCAGGTGAAAAATGCATGAAACCAGCCATGATTGCACAGTGCATTTCCATTGTACCCATATTTACACAATGCTCTGGGGACCTCGCTGTAATATTATAATACTCTCTCATTCTCCAGCTTTTCTGCCCTTGAGGGGTTACAGCAGGGCCACCGTGTGTGTGCTTACTTATAAACACACACACACAGACTTCTGTTACCTGTGGAGGTCTGCATGCTTGGCCACATTCCCCTTTTTGGACAACTTCACCACATGCTGACTTTAAAACACACAAACATGAAAAGCTTCTGCCCTGCAGCAGAGTTTTCTCATTCTCTCTAACACTGACAGACGGTTCTCTGTGTTACTGTGGCTCTCTGGACTGGCTACCTGGTTTTTTACTCTGCAGGAATGAGAATACTGAACCAAATAATTAATATAGCCTCAACAATCTGCACCAAGCTTGTGGAAATTAGCTTTTCTGTTTTTTTAATTTATTAAGAAAGTTTTTTTTTTGGCTTCTTGTTTGGAGGCTTTGGCAAAGTTTAAAAGATAGGAGACAGAGCTGGACAGTAGAAGAGCTTAAGATGAGCAGAGAACGATCAGTATGGACAGGATATGAAACAAGCAGAGGCAAGGGTTAAGATGTACTGAGGACGGAGAGTGAAGACATTGGACAATGGACGTTGGAGATGGACCTGCCAGGCAGAGGAATTAAAGAAGACTCCAGAGAGGATATGTGGAAGGACCTGGAGATGGTTGGTGAGACAGTCAGTTGGACACAGATGAATGTATATGGTTAGCATTGACAGCTGCTAATGATAATTCATGACATGGCCACGTTAGACGGGACTCCGTTGAATATCAGCAACAAAAAGCTTTATGAAAAAGCTTCTCTGTCAGGATGATTCAGAACTTCTGACAACGCAGATTGTGTTTAGACCCTCCCCCCCGACACCCCCACCCCCACCCGTGCTCCCCCTCCTACTAAAGTTTGGAATTACATCAGCACAGAGCAGAATAAACAGATGAATTTATATCCCACTTCAGTGGAGGCAAAGATTTGCCTATACAACAATTCCAGTCAGAGAACTCTCCCATTTTCTGGTAATAAGCCTTCTATTAGATTCAAGTAATGTAGCTTGAAGTATTTATTGTACTGTGTCCAGCGGGAGTGGATGGGTGAAGCCAAGCTCTAAAATAAGAAGCATTTGAAAGTAGTAGTTTCACTTAGTATTCTACACTTGTAAAGTGTGTAGTTATACATTCTCTCTGCTGTGACCAAGGGTAGGCAAACATGTCCAAGCATATTTCACACACCCACACCCACACTCACACACACCGAGATCCCGAGGCTATGTCTCCCTCGTATCCATTCTATTCTCTTTAATTTCACGCATGTTGTGTCCTTTATCTTCTCTGTAAACTGAAAGGCAGTGATTGTTACAAGCTCACACAAACACACACACACATTCACACACACATGCCAACACCAGCAGTATGACAGAAGTATAGAAAAATAAGGCCCCCTCTCCTCCACACTTGATTACCAGAATCAATAAGCCTCCTGGAATGGCTGGAATATCCCATTAGACCTGTTAATGTACTGGTAAACAATGCATTGTTTGGTTTCAAATGCTTGAGCACAGCAATCCTTTTCTTCATTCACCATTTAGTGCATTGAGAGCGCAGCAATTTTAGCACTCGTTTTACTGCACCTCCTGAACACAGCCGTATTAATGCATCTGTTTTTTTCTCTCTGGCTGTGTAATGTGTCTACGCTGTGGTGTCTGAGAGGTTCCTCGCTTCTCAGCTGTCGCTCCCTTTCCTTAAATTCACTGCATACTCAAAATCAGTCGTTGCAAAAGAGCTGGTCAAGATCAGATAGGAAATAAAATTGAAATATACAAATAGGGGGCGACACAGAGGCAAAAGAGGTTAGTGTTTTTCATGTTTCAAGTTTCCATGTTTTTCTAGTGTTTCTTGGCCTTCTTCAAGTTCTCGTCTTCTGTCACTTGATATAGGCATAAATATGTGTATATGTGTATGAGTATAAATGTGTTTATCTCCGTACATGGTCCTGTCATGGACATCAGACTGACCGGGCTGTAACTCCGCCCTGACCTCATGACTGCTGGGATTGGCTCCATCTCCTCTAGTGATTATGAAATGGTCTGAATGAAATATAAAAATACAGATGTGATAATGTTTAAGTAAATATCAGGTGAAATATGTTTTAAAAACTGAGTCAAATCTCTAAACACAGTTCAGTCATTTGTTTTTGTGGTTGTAAGCCTGTGGCTACAAGTGACGGACGATTGTGATCAGAGTGTTGGGTTTCATTGTAACCAAAATAATGCTTTTTAGGATAGAGCTGTGTGTTTTGTTGTTATTTTTTTTGACACCTTTTTGTCTTGAAAAAATGCCATGCCTTGTGTGCATTAGTTGCTCCAGAGAATGGGAAAGATGATGAATGTATTCACATGTTGTTTTGTTTTTTTGTTTTTTATCTAGATGTTGGGGGTTTCTTTGAGGCTGGTACTCTCATTCAGTACAACTTCCTGCCGGAGGCAATTGCAGGAGCCAGTCAGGACTCCAGGATCCTGACACACCAGCTGACATCACATGAAGTGAATCTGACCAAAGAGGAGGTCGCTTTAAGTTTCAGCACGTCCAGTTCCCCGGCTATTCTGATGTACATCAGCTCCAAGACGCAGGAGTATTTGGCATTGGTGCTCAGGCAGAACGGTAACACACACTGGTACACGACCACAAATACAGGGGCGGGTGTTGATCTCTTGTGGTAATATGTGTCATTGCTGGAAAAGCTGCTTTTCTGATGGCTGTGATAACAGTGCACTTTGACAGTTTGCAGTGTTGAAATGTTAAATCTGTAAATGCTTCACATTTCACAGCTTTTCAAATTGTGGCTGACTGGAGGAAAAGTACTATGACAACATAAAAGTAATAAAAAGTTGACATTGCCATCTAGTGTTCAGCAAATGATAAGTACTAGAATACAACAGCAAAAAAATCGTACTGAGACATTAAATAAATAACTCTTTGTTCATATGTGCAATTTTTGCGTGATTTTAAGTTTTCTACAACATTTCTAACAATTCTAGCTTGATTCCTTTTAAATATCAAAAGCTTAATTTTGACTCTTTCATTTTCACCTTAGAATGTGCTCAAAATATTATCACAAATGCAGTGCAACAATAGTATTACATAGAAATTGCATTAAACTAGGTTGTATATAGCTGTTTAAGGGGATACTAGAGTTAAGGTCTTTTAATTAACTTATTATTGACATTTTTAAGTTTATAAACAATAAACAGGGTTTTAAATCATTTTGATATTTATTAAAGGAAACCACTCTGCTGGTGTTCAGTGGTTCAGGCTTTGTGCTTAGTTTTACACACGTTTGTCTGTTTGTTTTTATACTGTGTTTAGAGCCAACAAGGACTTGATGACCTCTTACTACAAAGTTATATGTAAAAAGATGAGATCAGATGAACTCATCATTTAAAGCCACTGCTTAGAAAAATGATGATGAAAAGGTTTCAACAGCCATAAAACAACTTTGATTTTCCCTAGGTTCCCTGCAGGTGCGGTACAACCTAGGCGGTCTGCACGAGCCCTATTCTATTGAAGTGGATCAGAGAAACCTGGCCAACGGGCAGCCTCATAGCATTAACATGTCCCGTGTTAACAGAAGCATCACCATCCAGGTAAAGACCCAGCACACCAGCACCTTCACACACATGTTGTTCTCAAGGGCGCTCTGTCATCTGGCTTTAGCCAAATATAGCACAGTAAGTCAAAGAAGACCGTAATGTCCTGTTCTGTATCCACTGTGATGGAACAGCTTGTCCTCTGCCCCTGTTAATCCACTTCCAGTAGACAGGTTAAGTATAGCAAAAGTGAGCCAGAATTGATTTGTGTGTTTGTTCCAGAGAAGATGCAGGTGTTAAGAGCATGTGTGTATATGCGCATGGTTGTCCATATATATATATATATATACATATATGTGTATATATATATATATGTGTGTGTGTGTGTGTGTGTATATATATATATATATATATATATATATTCCTTGGGCCCTGTGTGTAGTTGTGTTTTTTATCTTTGTGCAGCTTAGGGCAAATCAATACAGTACAGTCAGCATCAGAAGCGTCAGAAGGAGAGAGTGGGAGTCTAGTAAAGCTATTTTAAGAAACATTTTCTGGCCTTAAATGCTTTGATGTAGGCCGCTGTGGGTCGCTCAGTGGTTGGTAATAAAATATTAATATCACTTTTACACAGAAACAAATAATGTATTAGATTAAAATGTATAACTAAAATAAAGTAGAACCGCAGTTTTGGCCACATGGTGGTTCTCTGGTTAATGCTCTTCTATATGGAATCAACCTAAATCCCACATTGGGATTTAGGTGGACACCTCATAAAAGACTAAACTCTCCTTAACTGTTAGATATATGCACAGGATATGATGGACAGACAGTTATGAACATGTTAATTTACTGTTCACACAGTTCAAACTGTACTGATCTAGTTATTCTCAAAGGACATTACAAGCCACGTTGGCTGCTAAAGCTAAGTGAAGGAGAGAAAATTGGAAAATGATGAAAGTGTAAAAAAAAAAAACATATTCCCTGAGTGGAGGAACTCTCATTATTTTTCAATTTGTCTCAGTTAACGGTCCAAAGAACAAAGGCGCACGTTCTTAACTGTGTCCAAAAACATAAGCAAAACGCTGTATAAAATTCACTGTCAAGTTTTCTGCAGCAGATGCTCTGACAGCAAAGCAGCGTGAAACTTGTGGAAATAAATGCCAGCACTGTCAACATGACCACAGTCACAGTTAGAAAAACCAAAGACACCAGCTTCAGAGCGGGTGAAGCAGATTCAGCAGAAAAGATTGGAAAAATCTGAGCCACACTGATCTAGTACTGTATATCTATGTGGAGAAATTACCAAAAAGCATAAAAAGTTTCTAAAATATGAGCTGATGTGTCAAGATGCAATCAATTCATGCATTTCACATTATTACCGCACCATAATCCACTGTGTTAAACTCACACAGTGCATCATTAAGTGTCTGTCTAAATCAATCACACATTCACTTGTGGACTTTTCGTCCAACTGTCAGAAAGATGAACGACACTCACTCCTCTACTGCTAAAAAATCTTTTTGTAGAGATTTTATATAACGTATAAACTAGTTACAAGTTAAGTTCACGGCAGTGTGAACACACTTTTTGAGGTGGTGGTATTTACACTGACCTGATTTCCCTGCAGACATCAACAGACTTTGATTTTATCTTCATTATCCATTTATTCATGCCTTGGTTGTGGACTACATGTTACCCATGAAACATAATCCGAGTTATTTTGGGCCAATTTGACTTGATTATGCATGAATTCTATGTTATGAAGGGGACACAGTAATGACTGAGGGGATAGAAGTACAATTATTAATTTAACTGAAGTGAACATAATCGTCCAAATAGATTGGTTCGTCAGCATGAAACTGGAAGAAATTAAATAAAGTTGTTTGATTGGGCGTGTTAATGTGTTTAATCACTGCCTACTTTTAAAGGCAAACTTGGTATTCAGGAGGATTGAAATTCTACGACTAATAACTGCATGTCTGGGTTGAACTAAATAGAGAATGATTAAATATTTACAGTATAAAACTAGCTTTAATGTCAGTGCTTAGTTATGGGATTATCTGTCTGCCCGAGTTGTAGGATATTAGAAGTAGAGAAGTACCATATAAACTGTAATAGATAGCGAACATTAAAATATATTATATTGTGTTTGAGAGTTCTTCTTCTGGTGTGGTAATTACAGGTGTATTATAGCCGTCGCCTTCATCAGAGAAAGATTAAATATTGACTGGAGCGAGGGGGATAATCATTGCCTCTGCTCTTCTACATGCATCTCCAGCTTCTCCTCCCTCACTGAGTAGACATCAGGCAATGGATTTATTTATTCACACTGGAATCTCATTACGCATGTCCACGCACTGCAGTGAAAAATTTTGACAGCAAGAAAATTAAACTGAAACATTCAATGGAAATCATCCTCATTTTCTGAGCAAATCACCTCCTGCAGCCGCTGATCACACCAGTGGGAGCACTTCAACGCAACACATTCCTCTTTTACTGGCGTGGAAAGTGATTGGAGCGAGTGTAAGGCCCTTTGCTCATCCCTCACACACACACACAGCCTTGATTGCAACGTAGTTGTATTTAGATTGATGGTATCAATGTTCAGCCCTGTTCTTGGGGTGTGACTGAACTTTTAAAATGTGCGGCCACAGTTCAGCACTCACGTCGGGTCAGGATTTACTTTAGAAAGCACTGCTCCTTTAAGTCCATTCATCACCGAATGCTGCAGGTAAACATTTTGGAGTGGAAAAAGATTTAAGAGGAACACCCGTGTGGCCATTTTGATTTAGGAAAAACATATTGACGGAATTATGATGGAGGACTGTGAGGGGATGTGACGTTGAGCCTGGAGGTGTCCAAGTAAATCTAACGTTGATAAATACAACCTTTTAATCTTTAATTACAGAGTTCCTGTCAAAGTGCGATCATAACCATCCGCCCATGAACAGATGCAGCCAGGCATGTCAACAGATATGAATTAGGTCAGATCTTGTCAGGTGAAGTTACTGCAGATGCCTCACATTACAAGGCCCAACAACCAACATCATTCACATGAATGTATCGACTACTTTAACATTGAATCTTGGCAGCCTTTATTGGTAGTTTTGTATATTTCAGAACAATGATCCATGAATGCACTTGAAAAACATGCATTGAAACGACTTTTGTACAAGATCCGTACAAAACGGACATTTAACATTTGACAAGAGAAAACCAGTGCTTGTGTTTTGTAAAACATGACGCTTAGCAGGTTGCTACTAGCACAGCATTATCACAATGGCATCAACTTCCAGTAAGCCTTACAACCTAACGTCCAGATCATGTATTAAGGTTTTGCAATTTTCACTATTCCTTAAAATAAAATAAAAAGTTCTAGTTCTATATTCGTCGCACACTGGCAAAGTCTGACTCTTTGCAACCCACACAGACTGCCACACAGAGGCGCCATTACGTATACGTGGTTCCTCCGGGGGTCGAACCCAGGACCTTCTTGTATAAGGCAGGTGTGATAACCTCTTCTCTATGGAACCAGAATAAACTTCCCACATGCTCATACTTTTTTTTCCCATCTTCTAGATGAGTCAGAAACAATAAAAATCACTTATGCCTGTGGACCTGCCAGTGGGTCAAATTCAATTTCCGTGTAAAGAGTGTTTACTTGAGGCTGCAGAGGTCTCGCCTCCCAGCTATCAGGCTGCAAATCTTGGAGGCAATTCAGACAAGCAACTATTTAGTTTAAAGACAGGGTGAACAACAAGTGAGAAGACAAATAGGCATAGAGGTAATTGGAATCTAAGTGGGTATCAAAGCAGCGAGATGGAGAGATGAAACATCAGTCAAAGGAACTTTATATATATATATATATATATATATATATATATATATATATATATATGTATATACCAATTTTTTTTTGGTTTGTTTGTTTTTGGTTGTTTATGTGTTTGTATTTCTAAAATCATATATGAAAAGGTAAATACTCACAGACTAAAAAAGTGTGGGCTGTGACCCAGGACCAGATCTGGGCTGTGTTGCAGGAATCAAGTCATCTCATAGTTTACATTTTAATTATTTAGAGTTTACACTGAAACCAGTAAAGTTTATTTTTTCCTTAAACCAAGGTGCAGATGTGAATTTTTAATGCGTTATTTAAATATGTACCAACCTCTGAGGAAATGTTTTTTCTACATCTGTACACAGAGGGTGAAACATGAAACAAGTTTCTCTTCCCTCTTTTTGTCAGTTTTGTTTACTCTCGACCTCCTGTTCCGTGTATGGGTTTAGAGATAAGAAACTGAGAATTTCCTGGAGGCTGAAGCATCCTTGTTCCTTTTCACTCTCCTCTCCTCTCCTCGGTGCAGTGTTCAGACAAAACAGTGATAGTAATTAACTTCATTATATGAAACCATTCATTCATATGAACAATAAAAATTTGCATACTGTTGCACTTCCACCACTGGATACCATTAACAAAAGCAGCCACAAAGTGGAAGGAGTGAAATTGCATGTACAGTAAATTAGTTTGCTTATAAACAAAAATTTTATGACTTCAGAGAATATATATTTTTCTGTTGTTAATTCCACTTTGGCCTGATCTCTGATTACTGAGTTTGTGTAAGCTGTTGTAACCTGAAAGGCAGGGATGGTGCTTGAAGGAGAGAGTTGTGTTGTTTAAATGTTTTGTTGCACCGGGTAAGTGTCCATATAATTGCAGTTGTAATTGACAAAGTTTGGTAAAATGAGATTTCTTTCCTGGCTCTTTTTCCTCTGTGGAGCTTTTTGTGGGATTTGGGGCCATGCGACGCCCCCGGTGGCTGTGCGGCCAATTTGTTTTCTCAGATAAAAGTAAATAAGCTCAGCGCAATTTAATTGTGCCCCATTATCCCACCCTGTAGTCACTGTGGAAAACAAAACCCACACAATGCTCCACTGAGACCAGGCTTTTGGAACAAATGGAATTAGAATACACAGTGTACGTATATGTGCGGGCAACTGTGTGTGTGTGTGTATGTGTGTGTGTTCACACACTGCATTAGTAGACTGCAGGAGAGAGAATTTCTCTATAGGCGGACTCTGCTGAACATGAAATACTACACATACACCCACTCAATAACCTCGGCTCTTTAGTGACAGTCCAGCTAACAGGCCACAGCAGCCACTCAACACATCACTGGAACAAATCCTCCAATGATGCAACGGCAACAAGAGTTTGTTGTTTTCAATCAAGCTCTCGTTCTCTGGCTGTGGCTGATGGTTTGTGTGCAGTACTGCAGACTTGTATGCACTGAGATACAGTACCTCTGAGTACGTTTCTGAAGCACACCAAAACCATTTTGCAAGAGTTAAAAATGATTCCTGTCAATGGCACAGGCTGCGCTCTCCGAGCTTATTAGAGACCGCAGTGAAACAGCAATAACAGGATAATTGTGTTGCAACGATATTAAAGTCATGTATTCCCTTCCTTCATCAGCATCAGATGAGAAGTAGCATATTGTTAATTAAGGTCTGATCATTAATCTTCTGCCTTAAATGGGGAATATTACAGAATTTTCTTTCTTACTTAGTTTCTAGGTAAGCCTTAACTGTAATGAGAGGTTTTCTTTAATGCTGTGGTCTATTTAATGTTTGTTCAAATATTATATATTCTGTTAATTCTGTTCACGTTGCCACTGTGAGAGTGGAGTACATCCTATAATAATGTATTGCAGTGTTACAGGACTGAAACTGTGAGAAATGGAAGTGTACGTACTTTATAAACCGACCCTACCACTTTTTGCAATTCAGAAAATAAAGACATTTTAAATTATGTACAAACCATATTTCTAGAACAGCTGCCTTAAAAATGCAACTAGAGAAAGAGACACAAAGTGACTTGTTTTTTTGGTCACTCCAACTTAATTCTGTTTGTTGAACATGGACTAATTTAGAAATTGATTCCTGCCACAAAGTCTCTAGAAAATAAGGACACAGACAATGACTGCAGCGTCGGTAATTTCCTAGTATTTTTTTATTATGTTTATTATTTGTAATTATTTCAAGATGGTTCTGAGTTTTTCAGCTCTGCTCGCTATGCTGTTTTTCAAGCATTATAAACAGTCCTTTTTTTATTAAATGTTTACAGATTTAACTAACTTTCCAAACGTCTTTCTTGAAACTTTTAAATAATTTAATTTTGTTGTTTGTTTTTTGTTTGTTTTTTTATTTGTTTAAATACTGAAAGTTAAGCTTTTCTTTGAGCATTTAATAACTCCTGTATGGATAACCCTTATGAACACTGATTTTTTTTCTTTCTTTTTTTTCTTCTTTTTATTAAACTATCTTGGATCGTGATTAATGGGAGTTATATGAGGGGTTATTAAGTGAGTGTTATTTGGAGCAACGCTGATATTTTGTACCACAAGAGAGAGCCATTCAGCTTTCGATGTATTTTTTCTGCAGCAGAATATCCTGATTGTAATGAGACTCTTCTTCATGGTTAAATATTCAATGGCTTACTAGATGTGGTGATGCTATCAAAATATGCCAAATCTAAATGTTAAATTTTGGTCATTTTCATTTTGGTATTTACATCAAAAAAGTTTGTTCTCTTGTTCTTTATTTTTGTTTCCAGTTGGATCACTACCCTCCGGTCAGCTACAGACTCCCAGAGGCCTCAGATACACAGTTCAACCACGTCAAGACGCTGTTCCTGGGTAAAGTTTATGGTGAGTTTGTCAATAATTTAACTTTTTTTTTTCCTGGCACAAAGTTGTTTTTATGTCAAATGTGATTCTTTAAATCAACTCAGTCAGTCACCCTGATTTTTACTCAGTGTTGTCTATAAAGCCCCTGTATGTAGACACTAATATCTTCAAAAAAGAAAGGAAAAGACACGAAATAATTCGTATTGTCTTAACAATGGACCACATTGTGGAATGGTGTTTGGTACCCTTGCCCCACAGGGCATGTTTGTCTCTATGAAGACTGAATATGCCTGCAACAGATTTACTCCTGCTACGTAGAAGACGATAAGCTGTAGTTGTATCCTAAACCCACTAGAGGTCACTGGAGATCTGCAGAAATATTGATCTGAAGCTTCCTTTTCTTCAATCTAAAATAGGGCCAACTGTCTAAGATGTCTTTTTCTTTAACTTTTTAGTATTGCTAGAGTCTTTAACCCATTTGCATTTTAGACTAATTAAAAATGTACCTAAATAACACAAAGTCAACTAACATCCAGTCTAATAAATTGATTTTTGTAGAATTGTTTGGGGTTTTTTTCACATGGTCAAACATTGTTGGGTTTAATAAATACCACCATCTTTTGCCCAAGTACCTGTGAAATCGATTAACTCTAATGGGCCTCATTACCAGGAGCCAATCACCTTAACTCTTAGTAGGTGCTGCTGTAGTTTATGGCTCAATAAAATAATTTGTTTTAATAAGTCACAATGTACCGAGATGGAAAAGTTGTATTTTATTCATTGCTCAGCTTTGGTCAGTGTGATGCTCTTCATCTGTCTGTTCCTTTATCTCTAGAGCAGTGAAGGTCACTGAGGCTGAAGTAATGGCCGACTTCACTTTCCAGCAACTTTTATCGATGGCACACATTCACACACACACATAGACACACATGCTGAATCCCTATGATAAACGATTGCAGGGTAAACATCCATCCTAACATAGCACAGACGTTGAGGGCAAAGAGGACAAAGTTTCTTAAAGATTCAGTCTAACTAACCCCACCATCTGGGGCCTTCAGTTCACACATCGACAGATCCAACACAGAGGTTAATGAATTAAACCTACCAGATTAATTATGTGTGTGGACAAAGCCAGAAAAAAAGCCAGAAATTTTAGAAGCCGGAGGACGGAGGAGACAGAATGAAGGCAGGAATTTGATTTTGCTCGTCTCATCAGATCTGTGTCAGGACTACAGAGACGAGAGCTGAGCTCAGATTTTCTATTTCTGGGACGCAATGGCTGAAAACAGACATCACACACACACACACACTATAACACAGATACACACAACTTCCATTGGCATCTCCTTTATCACCTTTATCTGCAACACAAGTGAATTTAGATGGGTTTTTTCAACCCTGCTGTCTAATGTGCTATACATTGAAACTGAAATATAAACTTTGATCATCAATCTTCAAACAAACATAGAGAATTGTTGATGTTTTATATGTTTAACATTCTTGTTGTGTACTAACGGTCTCAGAGCACTGCTGTATGTCCTGTATTACAACAATTACTTTAGAATTAGAAGACAAAAAATACAAAAAATATATTGGATTTCAAAAGCAAATTCCTAAGATTGTTATCAGGTTATCACAGGCAATAGTTTTTATATCATGTTGAAACAAGGCTCCAAAACTCTATTTTGTGAATCTTGTTCAGTAACACAGTTCCACTAAATACCTTTTTGGGTTTTCTTTCTTTGGCCAGGCAATAACAAAAATAGAAGCATAAAATGCTATTGGTTTTTGCCTAATTTTTTTCCCCTAATAATTAGATCCCTTAGGAAAGTCAAGTTAACATATGGGAAGTAACCTGAGGGTTTCTGTCTTGTTAGGACTGCGGCCATAATGTTAAGAACACAGCGTCTAAACACAATATGAATTAAACATTAATTCCTGTTCCTCTGTACATTGCTGAAGTTCTTGCCTATTTCCTGTTGTGTTATTTAGTTCAGATTCAGGCTCATGATGTTTGTACTGTTTGCTTCCAAGTCTAATTCTCCTAAAGTAGTATTGATCACAAAGTACAGCGATGATTCAGCATGTACTGTATAGATAACTATATGCTGCTGAGTCTGCTGTACTCTGATCCCTGGTAAAACAGTGTGTGTGTTTGGGGGGGGGGGCGAGGGGGTACAACAGTATTAATACACACATGATAAACCCACAGTGTATCCATGCATGCAGGCTCATATTTATGTGTGCATGTATCTCCGTGCATGCGGTGGTGGGTTGATGTATTGCGCATAGATCTGTCTTTCCTTAGGTTTCTACATCCCAGTGGGATAGATGAGGGGAGATGAGTCATTCGTCAGCTCAGAGCAGCAGGCACACAACCAACCCAGTCCTCACTGCTGCAAATCTGTCTGGATCTGTGTGTGTAAGAGTGAGAGAGTGAGAGAGGGAGAGAGATTTTATATAGCAGTATCTAAGTAAAACTGAATAGAGTGAAAGTAATAGGCAGAAGTGTGATAGAAATAGTTTTCAGAGACATGTACCTCAGCCCCACACTGAAATTCTTATTTCTCCTCTGCTGTTAAATCTCTGCAAGGCACTCACTGCAGGCGCTGCCCATTATTCTACCCAGACTCTAGGTCACTGAGGTTTCATGGTGACATTTCTCCCCGACCCAATACAGTCATGTACCCATGTCTTTAGGTCATGTTTGAAATATATTTAATTTTGAATGTTTACCCTCGGAGTAGTGTGTGGTTTCACCAAACACCAATGTTCTGGTTTCTCTCTGAGGGAATCATCTTGTTTAGTGTTAGTTTTAGCAATGTTAGCATCCACAAGACAAGAGGTGTCTGATTAATCCCTTATTTTTTTATTTCTTAAATTATGTTAGGCATTTAGACCTTTAGCAGATGTTTTTATTCAAGGTGACTTACATTAGGGAGGATTGAGTATGTTGTTCTACTGGGGCTCGAACCCACATCTGTAAGGCATGTCAGGCAAGTTTGAAACCGAAACAATATAGAACCATTTAAACTATATGAGCATTAATCTCCTATATGGAATTTTATACGAAATGCTAATTTCATATAAGGTCAGGATTAGCACCACCTACAGCATTGTTCTCTTTATTCAGATCCATTTTTAATAGTTGGCTTTTTAATGGACGTCTGTTCCATCTGGAAACACAAGAAAAGCACAAACAAAAACAACATGTTCTTGGCTACGTTAGTGCTGATGAGAACACATTTTGCCCAGTGGCATTAATTTACTGTGTTACATGAACTCAGTAAAGGCCACTCTGCTTGCCAAGGAAGCATTTGGTTGAAACAGTGCTTTAACAATTAAATTTAGCAGCAGCTCTGCTGGCCATGGGTGGTTTGTGTTTTAAGGATTCAGCACCAAGCTGTACTCAATGGAGCTGTGGTCAGGGATTTTCTATAAGTGTCCAATTAAACACAAATCATGTTTCCTTTATGTTAAATGCTGAATGCTGCATTCAGCTCGCCAGGAAGTTAAATCAATCTCCTCTGATCTGTTACAGGGAGACACTGGTGTGATGCTTGTGTTTTATGCCGTGGCAGCTGATTTGAGATACAAGAGATAACAACAACCTGAACCTGAATACCACTGTGTGTGTGTGTTCACTGTATATTCACTGTTCGCTGTGTTTCATGGACAGACAGGGAAATACAGGTGGTGGAGAGATATAGGTGCTTAAAGATGAAATATTAGAATTGAAATCATTTATTGAAATCATTTTCTTGTTGTAGTGTGAAAATATATATATATATATATATATATATATTTTCACACTACAACAAGAAAATGTCTTAAAATGCAATGTAAATACATACAAACCAACAGGTATTAGAATTTAATTAAATCTGATACATTTAAATTCTATAAGAAAAAAACAATTATTTTATTTTATTTTTAAAAGCCTTCATTGTGACCTTTGTGCATGTGGATGACATCATGCCAACCTCTATGCTATTGAGTCCTGATCCATGTCGTGTTGACTCCAGGTTCCAGTTTTTGTCCAGCTGCTGTGCTGTGGGGGGGGGGGGGGGGGGAGGACTGCACTGCAGCAGGGAGAAGGAGGAGGAGAAGGTGGAGGGAGAGAGACCGAGAGAAGGAGAGAGAGAGTGCGAGAGAGAGAGAGAGAGAGAGAGAGAGAGAGAGGTTCTCCAGTGAGGTTTAGAGTCTCATGTAGCACAGGAACAGCGAAAGTAGAGGAAGCAGAGGGATCTTTACCCAGGTAACTACAGATGTGTGTGTCTGTGTGTTCAAATGGACATTTGACTCCCAGTGGGTCACCTTTGTTGATGTTAATATGACTATACGTAAAGATAAAATACTATTTTTTTTCTTTTGCTAGAAGTAGCCGTGGTGTGTATGCATGCATGTGTTGCATTCACTGACAGGAAGCTACAGCATTCACAGGTGTATTAACCATGTAAAAAAAACAGTTGAACATCATCTGAAGCTCTTTAACATGTTTCTTCCTCTCCACCTTCTCATTTCTGTCTCTGTCCTCGTTCATTATTTTTGTTTCACTAACGCAGGTTTTTAACAGTTCACTTTTTAAATAAATGAATATTGTTTTGTGGGTCAAAAATTAACAATGTTGAAAATGTTGGGTTTTTTTCATTTTCAGTATTAACCTTTGTTCAACATGTAATCATATGACATTGATGATGTCAAAGTCTATATATTATGGCACATTGACTTAAGGCAAATAATGTCATATATTATTGGATACAAAAACAAATGCACCAAGGAGAAGTAGTGTTAGGATGTTGTTCTTGTACATTCATTTTCCTCTTTGCTCGATGTACTCTTTTTCATTTTTTTTTCATTTATTTCTATCTAGTGGCTGTGCTGCCTGTTCATTAGTCTGTCTCCATCTGCAGCACCTGGACCATGACTAGCATGTGTTTGTGCATTATTTGGGCTTTATGGGGAGGTGTGGTAGACAGCATGCCATGAATATTCTTTTGATGTGTTTGACATGATCATACTTTGATGAGAAAACCCCTACCCCCCACTTTTCCCCTTGCGTCCCCGGCATCAGCTGCCATTTGTTGTCATGGCAACAGCTTTTGATCTCCTTCAACCGACCTTTCTGTCTTGTACCCCCATTCCTGTCCCCATATTTTCCAACCAGATCCCCCTCACACACAGACACACACACACCTTAGATGCTTGTTCTTCACACCCTGTTTGGAGGAGACAGTCACACCCTTCTCCGTTGCGTCCTCCATCTTTGATTCTGCTTTTGTTTAAACTTCTTCGCAGAGCACATGCGTGTCAGTTTAGTGCCTTTTGTGATCCTGTGAATTATTCATGATGTCATTGGTCACTCTGGGCAACACAACATCAGGTGGTGCAATCATCTAATCAACACGCTGTCCACGTGGGTGTGCATGTTATGTAGGTGTTTACATGTGATACTCAGTCGTCAAGACCGTTCTGATAGTACTTGACGCTACATTTCATGATAACTGATGTCTAGGTTCCAGTCATCAGTATGTGCATGTCTGTCAGAGTGTGTGGACTCGTCAGCATTGTATTGATCTGTCCAAAAACAAGTGATTGGTGATCAATCTGTGAGGCAAATTTGTCTTCATCAGAGAAAAATAATGTATGTGAAATGTGTATAAATGTACATAAATTACCATATTAAAGGTAACTTGGAGATCTTTTAAAAAATCAGTCATTTTCCACTGATTAAAGAAAATATTTTAAAGTAACACTGCAATAACTTGCAGTCACTAAGAGGACCAGCTCCCCATTTTGGTAACCACAAATATGTAGTTGACGAGTAATGTATTTTAACTGTAATATAAGCTGCCATGTATTTATCAGCATGGGGTTGAATGTGATGTACTGTATGTAAATAACTCTATGTAAATTCCATTAGAAAAACCTGTCACAGTGAGCATCCCCTTTATTTTTTTAGTGGTGATAGTGACTTGATGTCACTGCTGTCTGACTTATCATTGTGTTGTATTGTCCTGGCAGGTAGTCAGTGATAAACATTTAGGACTGGAGCCACATTAATCTTTTTTAGGGCCACTGATGCCGTTCTCTTTACTCTTCCCATACTACAGCACGTTGTCACTTTAACGGTCATACAGACGACCTCCATGATGGAACACTAAAACTAAAAAGCACACAATCAAACCTAATTATATGAGCCAGCAGTGAAGCTACACAGTTCTGTTCTCCTTTGGTTTTAAGCTCTTTATGGAAGTGTTTCACAGACTCTTGTGATTTTAGCTGCATCTGTTTTAGCAGTTCTTGCTGACATTTTATTTAAACGTCCTTTGGAATGTTTAAAAAAGCTGATACAGGACCCTAAAATTAAAATCGAACAGCATTACAAAGGTTTACAAGACTGTTACCTGGTCAGGTGAGAAAACCAATCATGAAATTTTACCTATCTACTGTGTTAAACAGCATAGTGCTATTAAAACTATTAAGTCATTTCATCCCTGTTAACAGCACCGTCTTCAGTTGAAATTATGACAAATGTGTGGGTTATATTAAGTGGGTAAGCAGGCAGAGCCATAAAAACCAGACTAAAGGTGAACCTTATTTATAATAGGTGAGGAAAGCTAATCTCTTAGCCATGCTATAGTGGTAATATGTTCATTTATTCATTGTCTAATGAATGCAAATAACAATAATAGGGTTGTTTTTTTGCGGGGTTTTTTTTGCATGACAGCACTCCATTGTAATGGGAGGAAACGTGTAGCTTCCTATTCAGTATCGATTCAGCTCTAATTTTAGCGTGAGCAGAACAAGCCTGGCTTGTTCCGATGGCTGCTACTGATCTCACAAAAACTCCCTTGTGATATCACCGGCACCGAAACAAAAAAAACAATGGCGGTTTGTCTTGCCATTTATTCTGCGCTTGCTTTGTATGCAAAGCAGTCTGTTGGACTCTTCAGAGAGAGCCTATTAGTATTCACCCAGAGCGCTGCAGTGATCAGTGCGGGTTCAGACATACAGCAGAATGAGAGCCCTTGAATTCATATTGCTGGTATCAGTATTCTGCTGACTGTGGTTCTGCCAGACCCCTTGTTTTTTTCCTCCTCATCTTTTGTTTGTCTCTCTCACCCCTGCAGATACTGCAGTCACAGGTATCCACACGTGAGCAGACTGATACGCATATTATTTTAAGGCGTCATATTATAATGTTCCTGAAATGATGAAATTATAGCAATTCATCTGTACGAAAAAAGGCTAGGGTACATACAGTACATACTCACAGTCAAAAGTGTAAAAATCTGCATGGGTTCTGG